CAAATTTTTTTTTTTTTTTTTTTTTTTGGTTTTTTGAGACAGGGTCTCACTATGCAGTGGAGACTGACCTGGAACTCACTCTGTAGCCCAGATTGGTCTCGAACTCACAGCAATCCTCCTGCCTCAGCCTCCGTAGTGCTGGGATTACAGGCGTGCGTCACCACGCCCAGCTGCAAATATCTATCTCAACCTAATGTTAATTCCTTCTTGAAATGTATAGTTTCTGACATAGATATACAGATACCTTCCCAGGCTTATTCCTAATTTAATACCATACACTATCTCAAAACTTTTTTCAAGACTAACAAAGCAATGTGCCAGGGATTTAGCTCAGTGGTTTCACTGACTACCTTGTAAGAGCAAGGGCCCAAGTTTGATCCCTGGTGCCCCCCCCAAAAGATTAACAAAGTAATGAAACAGAAATAAAACAAACTACTTAAATGGATTTCCACCAGATATCAGAATATCTTCTTACCCGTACTAACATCTGAATTAAAGAGATTTCCATCCTTTTTTCCCTCTCTGGATTTAAAAAACTCTTTGAGCACACTATACATGCAATATCATATTTAAACAGTGTAACTTCATTATACTTCTCCAAAGAGCCACAAGAAGATCTAGAACTGAAATCAATCAAATCTTTTATTTTATATGCAGATTAAACCATGAATATTTTCTACTCATTTATTCTGTTTTAAAGGGTCTAACATACCTTGAATATCCTTGAAAATGCTGTGCTTGTAACTGGGACGCCACAAACAATGACGATGCTATTGCCAATAACTGGTTTTTCTCGCTCTCTGTTAACGTGTGTCCTGAGGGAAATCAACTAATCAGTCAATCAGCCATATATATAACACTAACATCAATGCTTCTGACTTACAGATTTACAAGCCATTCAAACATGAAGTTGGTATTGTATGAGGCACAGGAATCAGGAGTGCAAGACTATTCAATAAGATAAATCTTGCTCATTGAAAGTTTGTTGACTATATTGGGAAGAAAGATCTTAAATACACACACAGAACAAAATTATTATAAATAAGAAGGCCATACCTACAGAGATCTCTAGGAAAAACTTCAGTTCCCCACATTATCTTCCCCAACCAAAATTTTTCTTTTAAGGAAAGTGAAGATAAAGGGCCAGAAGCTGCAGAAGGAGTGATAGTACTCAAGAGCAAGTACAAGGCCATGTTTCTAGTGCAAAGGATTCAAAGAAAATAAAGGTGTGTTTCTCTAGCCTCTGTGCATGCAGTCAAGGCTTGAAGCCCAATCAGTCAAGCAACCAATTCTCTCCCTCATTCTCTTTTCCCACCATAATGTCACTGGGCCTGGTGCAGTGGACTAGCCTAGGAAGACCGCCTGGTGTAGCTGAGCGCAGAGAGGGAGCCTGCTCTACTTGCAAAGTTCCTCAAGAAGTGGGTGTGAACTCAGACACTCCAGAGTCTGCAGGTTAGCATATCTTTCTTTCTGTAATCACAATTTCTAATGCTATTCATCACACTACTCTATAAAGATAGCACAGTATTAAATGGCATAGTAGGAGCAATGAATGCTGGATCAGTAAGATGCTATTTATAAAATTCAAAAAGAGGGAAAAAACAGGTAGTTATTTGAACTTATTTGAAAGAAATTAATGAGACATTAGATCTAAAAATCACTCAAAATAAAATAAAAGTATAAACATTTTAAATTAACATATGAACATTTTGAAGATCTGTAGCACATGTTTCTATATAGGCAAGTGCTTCATGAAACCCAAGGGTAAGGAAAACCCAAGTAATCCAACCTCTTTGAGTCAAACCTAAAAGCTATATTATCTGTAGTACAAATGTGGGATCTCCCAACTGGTTCTGGGAATTTAATCACAGATCCTCAAGGTGGGTGACCTCATAAACCACATTCTTAAAGGCTTTGAAAGTTCCTGACTTTCTCCATATACCGGAGGACTTATGAAGACATCTCACATGATTCCATAATTAACTACCCTGTCTTAGAGTACTACAGAAATTGAAGTTCTCTAAGTGTAGCCCTTAGATGACGGAGAATCCCTGTGAGCCTTGCATGGCAGCAGGATCAAAACTAATTTCCCAAAAGTAAGATTTATTAGCTTTGTTGTTTTGTTTTTAAACTCTCATTTTCTGTGAATACTGCAGTTTCACAGATCCAAGGGACACATGTATCGATGGATATATATCACTGCTCTTGTGTCAACACATAACAGATTAACTGTCATTACTTTTGTTTTTAAGAGTAGGAAAAATTTATGAAGGGAAAGAAAACTTCGGTCTAAGAGAGAAAGAAGGGGGAACTGTCATTACTTTTAAAATGAATCAGTAAACAAGTATTCCATGGTTTACAATGTGGCAAACATCATCCAATATAGTCACAAAGCTTTCCAGTGCTTAAAGATGAGTGCTTCTCAAAAGTCACTGGGCATCTAGTCACCTGGTTAAAGCTCAGATCCCTGCATTTCTCCTGAAGAGACTGGTAGAAGGAATAGAGGGGGGCCTGCTCTGCACATTTTTAACAAGCTCCAGAGCGAGTCATAAAGATCAGCCAAGTCATAGGGTCTCACTCTCAAATAGAACTCCTGCGCTCAGATTCATGTTTCCCAAACTTTGTAAAGTAACCAGGAGGAGAAATTATCGGAGCACTTTGAATATGTTTCATGAAAACTGTGTGTGTTGGGGGTACATCTGAATTCAGGACATGAAATGTATTTCTTCTGGTGAGTCACAGTCAAAATACATGTACTTTTTCAGATGTATATGCACAAAACATCATCAGTGAGGGAAAAGGCAACATACTACAGGCCTCTGGCAGCAAAACAACCACTATTTCACTCGGTCTAAGCAATTGCTAGCACACTGACTGAGCAATACCAAGAAAGTCCTTTCCCAAATAAAATCGACCACCATCCAATCATATCTCTTGGGCAAATTGATATGATGCCTCTCAAGTCATTTTATTGAGTTTCCACTTCAAAAAGTATTCAGGTCCAAACAGGCCATTTATAAGACAATTGATCACAACTAACATTCTTAGAAAAGTTATAGCACAAAGCTGTTCCTGTTTACACACCAGAGTGACCTTGACTCCTGCATGTTCCCCTGGTGGCCTGATAGCAGAAGACATATCTAGGGCTAGAGATATAGCTCAGTGGTTCCACCACCTGCCTTGCAAGCACAAGGACCTGAGTTTGATCCAGTACCAGGATCCTTGACTCCTGCATGTTCCCCTGGTGGCCTGATAGCAGAAGACATATCTAGGGCTAGAGATATAGCTCAGTGGTTCCACCACCTGCCTTGCAAGCACAAGGACCTGAGTTTGATCCCCAGTACCAGGAAAAAAAAAAAAAGAAAGACATCTGTCTCTTTGGGCCAGGGATTTAGCTCAGTGGTTCCACCACCTGCCTCGCAAGCCCAAGGGCCCAAGTTCGATCCCCGGTACCAAAAAAAAAAGAAGACATGTCTACCTTTGGACTGCTTGCCCTGTGGTGACAGTGAGCTAAGCTGGTGTCCTGTTAAACTCATCTGTACTACATTCTTGGCCCCAAACTAACAAGCTAAGACAAAGGCACTCTGTTTACTTTTCCAAACCAGATCTCATCCATAACTAACCTTTGGAGGTGCCATGAAGGGAGCTAAGAACATGTGCCGGCTGCCAACCCACTAGAATGGAAGTCTCAGTAGGGCAGCAAATTCTTCTGCTTACTGAGCAAGCCGCACACTAAGAACTTTGAGGCATGGTATGTATTTAGATGCTTTCAGATTCTTCCTATTCTGTTTTGCAAGTGTGAACATAAACCACAGACTTCTGAAGGGTTCTGAAGTGATAATGAATTACTCATTTTGTTCCCTAGCTTAAGAGTCAACTTTCTTAGGTTGCAAAGACAGTAAAGAATCATCTTTCAGCTTTTCATTTTCTAAAATCCCACATCCTTGTGGGCTTGTGTCGTCAAAAAATTCAAGTTAGTGGGGATTGGGATGGGGAAAATGTGCATATTTAGGCAATAATCTTTACTTAAAAATAAGCTAAAGTACTTTCTTCAGCAATTTCCTTGGAATGAATATATATATATATAGATATATATGCACACACAATATACATATACATATATGTGTGTGTGCACATATATCTATATATATATTGAAATGTATCTAAATCCTTACTCATTTGCAAATACTTTGTGAAAAATACTGATCGGGCCAGAGATGTAGAACAGTGGTACCTCACCTGCCTGGCAAGCACGAGGTCCTGAGTTCAATTCCCAGTACCGAAAAAAAAAATATATATAAATACTGATAAATGAAGGATCTTAGGTATAGTACTCTTGAGTCAAGTTCTTTCCTATTTTTAAGTTCTCTTCCAGTTTATATAATCAGAAGATCATCTCACTGAATGTTCTGTGCATATGAATTTTCTTTCTTTCTAGAAGCTTTAAGTCTTTTGTTCTTAATATATCCAGAAGTTAACTTTTTTCCATTAATCCTTTCTGAAACTCAGTAAGTTTTTCTAACATCTCAAGAATTTCTTAACAATAATGATGAGTCCCCTATTCTTTCTTTTAAAGTCATCTTTCATTTATCAATTTTTCTTTTCATGAAACTCCTATATATCCATTTATATATAAAATCTTGGAATCTTCCTTCGATATCTCTTATTTTGTGAATAGTTTTTTTCTTTTTTTGCTACATATTTTGGGATACATCTTCCATTTATTATCTTGAGTCACTGATCTGGTTCCTAGTGGTGACCATTTATCTTTCACTTTGCAGAAATGTTTTATTTAATTCTAAATATGATGGTGTTTAGTTCATCAAGTCTTTCTCCTCTAATTTAATACCATTAACTATTCTGTCTTTCAGTGAGCACCAATCATCTCTCCCACAATAGCAATTCTAAAACTGAGCACCACCTGTCCTCAAATTCTACATCTTTCTCCCTAGATGGGTAATCCGTTTCCTTTTTGCACTAGTGGTTCTGTTTGCTTTCAATACTCAGGTCAAAGGGTTAGGCAGTGGTTTGATGGTAAATGTTTACCAACCAACTGGGGTATGGAGGAAGGAGAAAAGCCCCAGTGCATAGCGTTTGCTAATTTCTTTATAGTAAGTACTATATTCACGGCTAGTTCCAAACTACCAATACGCGTCCAAGTGGATGGCTTGTGAATCCAAGCACACATGGCTCTCACACACTGGACAGCAGCCCCAGCACACAGTGAACAGAATCCTCGGAGAAGTGCTGCAGTTGTCTCAGATGCTACCTCATCCTTCAGGCAGCTGTGATTCCTCATATCAGACTGGCTTCTTTTTTCTCTGCTCTCAAAACATCCTGGTTGTCTTTACTTAGCATTTATTCTATCCTGCAGTGCTGTTAGTTTTTCATATGTATATTTCTGTGGTGTTAGCTCCTTAATGACAGGAAAAATGTTCTGCCTTTGATTTCCTTCTAGAGATGATATCCATTATTTATTGAATTACTTTATTGACAGTCCAAATAGTGTAATATCACTTCTAAAGGTTTTTAAATGTTTCATTAAATTCAGTAGGAAAAAAAATAAAATTCATTATATACTTTTTGTATTAGATTCAAATTTTACCAAAAATCTGTAATTTTCCAAAATAAAAAGATAATTCTGGTCATTTCTTTTTATAGGGCTTGAAGTTGTAGAAAGGTAATAAAGAAATAATTTCAAACCAAACTATCCTTCTTAAAATATCTTCATTTTCCTTTTATTTTGAATCAAAATATCTCCTTCCTCACTTTCCACTTATTTTTCAGAATCAAAAGAAAGTAATTTTTCAACTAGAATCTAAAAGGTTGACAAGAACAATTTTTTGTGTATCCTGATTTTTAACCTGTAACATAGTGATTTCGGTGTTTATAGCTAAGAAACTCTAGTAAAATTTTCCTAATACATAAATAGATTTGGGGAAGTAAATGCATGTAAGAGAAAACTTTATTATTCATAAAGACAGGCACTTGCCTATGAATAGTGCCTAGGAGACCAGGACAGATGGGAAGCAGATGGGTAATCCCAAAAGGGCAAAATGACCCAGCCTCAAACATATTGAGAAGATCCTGAATTAACTTCAGTTGCCACTTCCTGCTGTCTCTTTCGGGCACATATATCAAACAATCAAAGTTGATAGTTTAATATATCTGAGATTTGCTCTAGGGAAAAAAATGGATAAGGAAAAAATGAGAAAGAACAGAAGAGTAGCCATTCAGAGAAAACTTAACTGACATTAGAAGAATATGAAATAATTAAGAGGCAGACATCAAATATAAGTATACACGTTGAAAGTCCTCAGGGCCACAACAATATGTTGTGTGCTCCACTGATAGGTTCAGTGACTTATGAATTTGAATCCTAGCACAACTAAAAGCATACTTGTTACTCACACTGGAACTGAAAATTCCTGACAAGGGCAGGAGACTTAGCTCATTGGTACAGCACTTGCTTGGTATGTGCACAGCCCCGGGTTCAATTTCCCAGCACTGCACACACAGAAAAAACACAGAAGGAAAGAAAGAAATCCTAGGATCAATTCCCTGGCTTTATTGTTTTACCAGTCATTTAGCCTTATCAATCTGAGTTTTTGCTTTCTCGTGTGGAAAATTAGGGCTGAGACTAAATAACTCCAAAAGGCTTTTTAATGATTTAATGATATATTTTTCATTAATCCTTTAATGATGATTAAGTTTTTTTTAATGACAATTAAAAAGACTATGTGGACAGGCATTGTAGCACAAACCTATAATCCCAGCACTTTGAGAGACTAAGGCAGGAGGATCACAGATTAGAGCTCAACCTGGGCAATTTAGCAACTTATTGAGAACCTGTTTCAAAATAAAAAGGGCTGGTAGTATGTAGCTCAGTGTGGAGACCCTTGATCAATCCCTACTACCTCTTAAAAAAAACAGTTTCTGTGATCGTGTCCATGCTGATAATTCTTATCAAAAAGAAATGTAATGTGTTACACATATCATGTCATTGAAAACTGAAATATTTAGGTTTTAGATTTTAATTAAATTTGAATAAATTCTGAGTTTGAAGGGGACTTCCTTCTTGAGAAAATCTGGAACATCTTCTATTGTTGCTAAATGCACATCAACCCCCATCAGAAGTTTTAAATGCTTCATATCCTTCTCCTATGGGATATTTCACCATATATACATAAATACTCATATTTAAATGTATGTGTATATAACCAATGCACTCATAATAGGTTTATTCTAAAGGTTCCCTGAAGATTTTACCTGTTTTCTCCTTCTGCCTACTATTTCTTATCATACCACCTTCACAGACACATTAGGTAGGCACACATAAGTCCCAAATTCACTTCAAAACTTGCTATGACTTTTAGTTAAACTTTAGAAAGGACAGATTAAAACAGAATCAGAACAGAATAAACTGCTTACTTGGTTACAGATAATTTAAAATATCCAAAGTAATCCCTTCTCATCAATACTACAGGTAAAATTCTTTTCATTACTTCAACAAATGTTTCCTTAGTGTCTACTATGATTTGTTGCTAGGGAAACAATAGGAAGTGATGATTTAAGTGGTTCTGAACTAGGGAACCAAGTGGTATTAATGAAGTAATCATACATATATAAAAGTGAATCATACTAAGAATATACTTTATTCTATATTTTTTAAAAATTCAAGGTTTTAGGGGAAAGAACTAATGAATCATTAGTCTTTGTTTTAGGAGCCCAAATGAAAGAAATTCTTCATTTCTGTTCATTCTACTAATAAAATTCTAACACTAAAGTTGTAAAAAAAAAAAAAAAAAAAAAAAAACAACTTCAAATCAGTTATCTCTTGTTAATCTCACAAGCCTGCTCTAAATTCTGAATTAAAAATTGCATTCAATAGCTCAACTATTTGAATCTACACATAGCTCCTAACATCACTGTGTAAGTCACTTAATATACTAAAATAGTATAAATGGAAGACTGACTAACCTCCACACATTTCCAAATTTATTAGACTTTGATACAAAGGCTTCTGGTTTCTACCTCATATAACTGGAGTCTCAGCTATGTCCTATGGATTTCTTGATGATATACATTAGCCACATTTCAATGCTCACTAAATGGTGCCCTCTATCTCTCACTTGGCCATCCTTTTTTTTCCTCTGAGACAGGGTTTTGCTATGTACTTCAGGCAGGCTTGAACTCGCTATGTACCCCAGGCTGGCCTTGAACTTGTGGCGATCCCCCTATCTCAGCCTCCTGAGTGCTGGGATTACAGGCGTGCACCACCATGCCTACCTGGTCAACCATTTTTCTATGACTTAGAAACTCTCACTGATAACTTTCCAGTGCAAAATTTCACAATCCACTCATTTCTTTATTTATAACTTTGTGAAACTAAAAACCATCATCTTCTTAGCTATTTTTATTTTAATTGATAGAATTAACATCTGCTTTTCTTAAATTTTCAATGTTATTTTTCACATACATATTTGAAGAGATCCTGTACACACTCATATCAGAAGAGAATATAAATCTGATTTGACTTTCAGAAACTGGAAGTGTAGGTAGACCAATGGTCTGCCTACATTTTGCCTATATACTAAACTCTCAGAACACTCAACATGGCTGAATTCCTTACTCAACAGAACTGCAGATTATTACATTAATGAATTACATATGAATGCTTAAAATCATGACAGTCTATAGTCTAGGGTACTCTAAATGTGTAAGTCAAGGATAATATAAGCCAAAAGCCTTAATTTCAAAACAGAAAAAAGTATACATTAAATAAAGTATAAATATAATTATTATAAATAATAAAATATTTCAAAACATACAAACCTTTAAAGCCATCGGGATATACATCAGAGAGAAATTTAGTGCTGAAATCTCCTTTTACAAAGCGTGAGTTGATTATCACCTCTCGTAGTAATGCAATGTTATGGGTAACACCTTAAAAATAAAATCATATCAGGTTGAACTGAGGAACAAAAGTCAGATAAAAATCTAATTCTTACAATGTGGAGAAATTTGTTTTTAGTGTATGATGATCTAGAAGGAACTATACAAGATTTCTTATTTCTGGTTTCAATTAACAACAAATACCTGAACGTGTGGTATCAATAAAACATTAACTGTAAATCAAAGGAGCTTGTTACTGCCAAGTCAATTCAGTGTCAGAAATAAATGACTTTTCAACAAATTGCACTGGAACTAGTAGATATCCATTTGGAAGGAACGGAAGGAGAGAAGGCTAGAATTCACCCCAATTCACCCCAGAGATAAATGTTTAATACTGAATAAATACTTTGAAGATAACAATAAAGAGTGCAATAACTATTGCTATTCTCTAATTCTTTGGTTATAAAAATGTGCTTTATTTTTTCATAAAAGAAAAAAAATTAACTCAAATTGATTATAACTCAAGATGTGAAGCCTAAAATGAATTTAGGCCTTATAAAAGAAAAACGAATCTGTGTTACATTGAGGTAGACAACAGATTCATAGTATACAGAAGACACACACCATAAAATTATCAAAATTGTACTTAATCAAAAATTTTCAAGTCTGCTCTTCAAAAGATATACTTAAAATGAAATGAGCTGGGCATGGTGGTACATGTTGATTGTCCCAGTACTCTGAGAAGCCCAGCCAATGGGATGGAAAGTTGAAAATCAGCCTGCGCATCTTAGCAACTTTGTGAGATCCTATCTTAAAACAAAAAATAAAAAGGGTCTGGGGATGTAGCAAAGATCTTGGATTCAATTTCCAGTACTCCCTCCACCCTAAAACATACCCAAAAAGACAAGTTGCAGGCTGAGAGAAAATACCCACTAT